TTGGGAAGAACCACTAGCCAAGGCTGCCATAGTTCCCTCCCAGGGACATCTGTCTTCCATCAGAGCATTGTTGGCCAAAGATTTCCAGCCCCAAGCCTCCTGACCTGACCTGGAAGGGTCAGTAAGCTAAGCACACCTCCAGTCCTGGCCTGACTTCTCCTTCCATCCCAGGTTCCTGCCAGCCCTGTCTCTCCACAACCAGTAAAAGGTCCAAGATCTAGACCCCTCTGCCTGTGAAAGAGCAGGGACTGTCTCAACCTCCTGCCTTGGCCTCGGTTCTACCCCCAACCTGGCTTGAGAGGCGGGGTGGGGAGTGGGGGCACAGCTGTTATCTCTGAGCTGGTTGAAGGGGGCATTACCATGTGCAAATACAGGCCGCTGCCCATCTGCCCCTCACTGAGAAAGGCTCCTAATAAATCCAGAGCAGCCAAGTGACACACATCTCAATCTAGGCTAATCCACCACATTAATGCCATCCTACACAGCCTGCATTAAGCCCCTGTTAATAGGGAAGGGGTGTCAGGGTCAGAGAGACCCCTCCCACTCAGCTCTCTACCCCTTCCCTCTGTCCCTAGCCTCCTTCTGTTCTCCTCTGACCAAGAGGCACCCGGAGTTTTGAGCCCTAGTATTGCCCATTTCTCTTCCTCCCCGCAGTGGGGTTCTGGGAGAGCAGGCAGAAAAGGGGACCCTGCAGGAGAAACTTGGACAGGGACCCAGGGAGGCTCCTGGGCAATGTGAGGCTAGGTTTGGGATAGGAAGTATGAGTAGGAAGGTGGTCTTATGAAGTTCCTGCTACAGCCTGGAGCGGGCTTGGTAGAGGCTGTGCATGAGTAGAGCCATCACTGGTAGGATGTAGTGTATGCCAGTGCAGGCATGAGAGCAGGCCCAATCCAAGCACCCAGTGGCTTTCATACTTGTGTTTCATCTTGTTACCCTTTTTTCAAATGAAATCTCTTCAGAAATCATGAACGAAACAGTCCGGGTGCGGTGGCTTACGCCTGTAATCCTAGCACTTTGGGAGGGAGGCCAAGGCGGGTGGATCACCTGAGATCAGGAGTTTGAGACCAGTCTGACCAACATGGTGAAACCCCTTCTCTACTAAAAATTAGCTGGGCATGGTGACACATGCCTGTAGTCCTAGCTATGTGGGAAGCTGAGGTAGGAGAATCGCTTGAACTCTGGAGGTGGAGGCTGCAATGAGCCAAGATCATGCCACTGCACTCCAGCCTGGGTAACAAAGCAAGACTCCATCTCAAAAAAAAAAAAAAAAGAAAAGAAAAGAAAATAAACCATAAACAAAACAGGCCAAAGCAGTGCCTGCCCTAGCTGAAGCAGAGCCAACTAAGGCCAGGCTAGAACTGTAGCTGAGTCCCTGAGGGGATCTCTAGGGAAGGCCCCAAAGAGCACAATGTGAGAAAGCAAGTGTTCTGAGTTGACTGGATCAGAAAAATAAAAATAATAAAAATAAAAATCAAACAAGGAAAAAGCATTAGGAGTCTCACAGACCTGGTGCAGTTCTCAATCCCACTGCTTACAAGCTCTGCGATCCTCATCACGTTCCTTCACGTCTCAGTTTCCTCACTGGAAAAGGATGCTCATACTTGATGTATCTTTGTGAGGGGAGAGAGATGAAGTAAAGGCCCATAGTAAGTACACATAAATGATAGCAGCCATTATTCTTAAGGGAGAAATGTCAGGTCTGGCTCAAAGTACAATCTGTCCTAAGGACAGTGGGTAACAGACATCTGGTCTGTGTCTCAGGTATGACTGGCTGAGGGCCAGGTATGAGTATAGGATGATCTTGTGCATTCAGGTGAGAAGGATTTGAAATTTTTACGGATGTAGTATAAGGTATGTGGTGTGCTATAGTGTAGATTTTTTTTTTTTTTTGAGACAGTGTCTAGCTCTGTCACCCAGGCTGGAGTGCAGTGGCCCGATCTTGGCTCACTTCAACCTCCGCCTCCCGCGTCCAAGCGATTCTCCTGTCTCACCCTCCCATGTAGCTGGGATTACAGGCGTGCACCACCCTGCCCAGCTAATTTTTACATTTTTAGAGGAGACAGGGTTTTGCCGCACTGGCCAGGTTGGTCTCGAACAAACGCCTGACCTCAAGTGATCCACCCACCTTGGCTTCCCAAAATGCTGGGATTACAGGGGTGAGCCACCATGACCGGCCTATAGTGTACATTTTCATTCAATAATATTGAGCCCCAACTGTATACCTGGCACTGTTCTAGTTCCCAGCAGTAAACAAAACAAAGCCTAGTTTATATACCTATGCAGAGAACCTCTCAGCATGCAACTCTTCCCCCTTAGGCTGCTATTTCCTGATTCTATCTTAGGGAGCCCCACGCAGGGATAGCTTTATGGCTGAGAAAGGCGGCAGGGAACTTACAGGGAAACGCTGCTGGGACCCAGCTAAGCCAGAGATTTTACCCCCACTACCCTGGTCTGTCTTCTCTCGCTTCCAGAGCCCTCTCTCCATGGAGTTCGGCCTGCTCAGCGAGGCGGAGGCCCGGAGCCCTGCCCTATCGCTGTCAGACGCGGGTACTCCACACCCCCAGCTCCCAGAGCACGGCTGCAAGGGCCAGGAGCACAGCGGTGAGCGCGCCCCCTTCCGAGGGTAGAGGAGATAACAGCTTCATCCCCAGTGCGGGTGGGACCCCAGCTGGGCAGCCCGGGTGGGAGCCAGCGGGTGGTTCAGGAGGTCCCCGAGTCGGAGAATCCTTGCAGGCTTGGGCGCCCTGTGACCTGCCCCCACCCTGGCTCCCAGACTCGGAGAAGGCCTCGGCTTCGCTGCCCGGAGGCTCCCCCGAGGACGGCTCGCTGAAGAAGAAGCAGCGGCGGCAGCGCACGCACTTCACCAGCCAGCAGCTGCAGGAGCTGGAGGCGACCTTCCAGAGGAACCGCTACCCCGACATGAGCACGCGCGAGGAGATCGCTGTGTGGACCAACCTCACCGAGGCCCGAGTGCGGGTATGCCCTACAGTCCCGTGACTCGCACCCGCGCGGTCCCTCCACGTGCAGCCTGCCACCCTGAGGTCGGCAGTTCCGCCCCACCTACCCCCGCCCCGGGGTCCTGGCCCCTGGTCCCCGGCTCCCGGCCACAGCCCCAGTTGGCCTCCTGGCCGCCAACCTCCAGCCTCTGCTCGTAATGCTCCCTATCACTCAGACCGCGCGCTTCTTCGGCCCTGACACCGTCTCTTCTTACCTTCTCCACCTCTCCTCGACCCCATCCTACTGTCCTCCCAGACCCTGGCGCCGATGACTCAGTCCTGCCGCTCGCACCTTCTGTTCTCCGACCCCGGACTCCGTGCGCTCCTCCCTTCCCACCCCGTCTCCAGCCACCTCATCTCGTTTATTCACCACACCGCCCAGCTGGAAGCCCCGTCAGGGTGGGGTGAGGTGGAGTGGGGTGTTCCGCCCTCCAGTCGATGGGACCCCAGGCCCTGAGCCCTGACCGCCTTTCTCCCGCGCCCGCAGGTATGGTTCAAGAACCGGCGCGCCAAGTGGCGGAAGCGCGAGCGCAGCCAGCAGGCCGAGCTGTGCAAGGGTGGCTTCGCAGCGCCGCTCGGGGGGCTAGTCCCGCCCTACGAGGAGGTGTACCCCGGCTACTCGTATGGCAACTGGCCGCCCAAGGCACTCGCCCCGCCGCTCGCCGCCAAGACCTTCCCGTTCGCCTTCAACTCGGTCAACGTGGGGCCTCTGGCTTCGCAGCCCGTCTTCTCGCCACCCAGCTCCATCGCCGCCTCCATGGTGCCCTCCGCCGCGGCTGCCCCGGGCACCGTGCCAGGGCCCGGGGCCCTGCAGGGCCTGGGCGGGGCCCCCCCGGGGCTGGCTCCGGCCGCCGTGTCCTCAGGGGCTGTGTCCTGCCCTTACGCCTCGGCCGCCGCCGCCGCCGCGGCCGCCGCCTCCTCCCCCTACGTCTATCGGGACCCTTGTAACTCGAGTCTAGCCAGCCTGCGGCTCAAAGCCAAACAGCACGCCTCCTTCAGCTACCCCGCGGTGCACGGGCCGCCCCCGGCCGCCAACCTCAGTCCGTGCCAGTACGCCGTGGAGCGGCCGGTATGAGCGGCCCCGCCAGTGGATCATCCCCGAGGGCGGGGGCGACGATTCGCAGCCTTCGCGGACTGGGGTCGTCTTGACTGGCTTGCCCCCTCCCCGGGGTCTGAAATGGGTGTTTGGGCAGCTGGCGTGGGGGTGGCGGCCGGCTCAGGAGAGGGCCTTCCCCCTCCCAGCCCTGAGGGGTAGACTGGGCCCTACACAGAGACCGCGCCCCTGGGACTAAGGCCAGGAACAGGGACCAGCTCCCCGGGGGCCAACTCACCCTTGGCCCATCCCGCCTTCTCCAGGCTTCCCCTCCCTGGTTTTCAAAGATAAATGAAATAAACGTGCGCGGACTGTCGAAGGCCTGATGATTCAGAGTTGCGGTTGAGTCCTCTTCCCTTCATCCTCCCCCACTGTCTAAAGGCAAGCTGGATGTACAGGAACGAGGTGAGGGTCCAGGCTTTTAGGGATTCAATCCCACTCACCCCCCTACTCCAGAACCGAGCAGCTGGGGATTGTTTCTGGAGCAAAGAGGTGTGTGCGTGCGCTGGACGTGGGAAACCAGATACCCGGCGGGCGTCGGCCACAGCCGGTGCTGCGGCGCCACCTCGTGGTCTCAGGGAGGCTAGCTGGTAGATCTGGTCTCCAACGCTTCCTCGAAGGTGTCAGCTCCGCAATTCAGAAAGCCTATGACTTTAAAGTTACTCCGCCTTTCTCCACCTGTTTCTCACTGTTCCTATGAGGGGCTTGGACCTCTAACAGCAATAAAATTCTGGTCTGTAACAGACATTTATTAAGTGCCGACCAGGCCTAGGATTCTTTCAGTGTCTGTGTCTGTGCCTCTCACCCTACCATGCACCCTCAGGCTTCCCCCCTGCCAATCATCCCACTGGCAGCAGCCTCCTGCCATCACAGCGGCCGTCTTTTCCCCCCAAATCCCAAAACTCTCAAAATTTAGTTGAAATCTTTAATTAAAAAAATAGAGCAAGAAGAAGAAAGATTTCTGGGTAGAAATATATCCTCCGTCCCACCCCCATCCCAGGGCCTGCTTGACCTTCACATTAAAAACAAAAACATCAAAGTAACAGACCACACCCCCATCCAGGGTCACCTTTCTTGTCTTGTCAAAAATTCCAGCCACCTCGGGGCACCCATCCTCTGGGGAAACCATGCAGGTAAGGCAACCTAATCATTCCCCCAAAACGAAGCCCAGCCTCTTAGTGCCCTGGAGAAGAGAGAGCCTGGAGCTTCATTGTTCTCTCCAACCCTTCACTGGCTCTTTGTCTTGGCTTTGACCTTGGGCCTGATGTAGGCCTCTCTGAAGAAGTGGGCAAAGAGGATGAAATAGGTCATATACAAGATGAAGGACCAGAATAAGTGTTCCCTCGTGGTGTTGCATCCTGGCTCCTGCCTCCAGATGTATGACAGGATGCCAACAATGGCTCCTACAAACATCTGCAGGATCTGCAGGCTGGTGATGAGCATGGGCAGCATCTTGGGGGGCTTCACGTTGGCAGCCTTCAGAGTGTAGTAGGGGTACATGATGGCATGCACGCCAAAGTTCATGGTCATGAACCAGCCTCCTGCAGGCACTTTGTTCTTGTATCCAAAGCTTGTGTACACCAGCACTGTGCTGTGGTGGTACCAGTGGATAAAGATGAGAGGCCGCTTACGCAGGATGATGAAGGCTGTGTCTCCTGGGAGATGGAGAATCATAGCTGGCATACGGCCCAGTGCTGGGACCACCCTCTGCACTGGGTGTGGGGACATGGGAGAAATTCTGAGGGGAAGACAAGGGGTCTTTGTGGCAGAGAATCTGTAGAGGGACTTGGGTGAGAGGTCTTATTAGGACCCAGGGGTAGGAAAGGGACTCTCCATGGGATGGTGAGGGGAGGGCCCTGAGGAGGGATGCAGTTCACAAGGCACCAGAGAGACAAAGCCTTGCCACTCACCGAGTTCTATGACCTTGCTGAGAAGAAAGATCCCGGACCAGAAATTGACTATGGAATTTTCGAGGAAGGTGCAGAAGCACACAGTGTGCTTTAGGCCCCCAGTAAGCAGCACAGTCCCCATGATGCCCCACATCCTCACTGCCCCCACGATACTGAAATGGGACAAAGGAAGATGGTGTCAGCGTCATCCCCAGGCACTAATCCACCTTTCCCCTGGAAGGGTGGCCAAGTCACTGTGTTCCAAGTTCTACCACCTCCCGACCTGTCCATGGGGGATTCAAAGCTCCTGAGATCCTGGGCCAACCAGTCATCTAGAGGAGATGAGGCCAACCATTAGTCTAGAGCAGAAACATCAGGGAATGCAGGGGGATGGGATTGAAAATTGAGTTAAGGAATGGGGTTCTTGCAAGGGGTTAGGAGCCTGGGAGGAGATGTACAGAGGGATGGGGAAGACTGAAGGAATTTGGGGAAGAAAATATGAGGAAGTTATTGGAGGGTCTTGAGAGAGGGTGTTAGGAGCTGAAAACATTAGAGGCTGGAGAAATTTGTTGTGAGTACAGACTTTATGAACGCAAGAGGGACAAAGCAGAGACCACTAGGTCGGGGTCTAAAAAAGAAAGAAAACCAGATAATATAATAGAAGAGGGTGGAGGCTGGGAGGGGAACTAAAGCTGAAAAAATGAGATGGGGAGAGTGTTACAGGGTGACTTGAGGACAGGATGGAGGTTGATGCAATCTGGAAACCTTTAAGGGATAGAATGGAAGTCTAAGATCTAGAGACGAGGCAGGGAGTGAGCAGGGTCTTACCTGAAGATTGCAAGGCAGAAGGACCAGAGGAAGAGAGGCCCCTGCAGGTTGAAGCCCTTCCGTTCCTTCATGTAGTTCTGCCCCACAGCGATAAGCACCAGGTAGATCAGGGCTATGGGGAATGCGGTTGCCCTGGCAAGCAGAAGGCAAAGGGGATGGGCTCATGGGGGGTGCTGACTAGAGAAATGCCCACTCATCTCTCCAGGTGAGTGCTCTGGGTTGGAGCCCCAGTTCTGCCACTTACTAGCTGTGTGACATTGGAAAAACCAACTTAACTCTCTGGCTTCCTCATTTGTAAAGGGGGAATAATACATCTCTCCTAGCAGTATTAATGTATACAAAGTACCTAGCACCGGGTAGGGGATACGTCCAAGGTTTCTGTGATTATTGCTCTCTCAGTGAGGTTGGAGGTGGGTGACGGGTGTCTGGCCCACACCGAGAAGCAGCCCAGGACTGTGGTGTAAGAAGAATGTGGCAATGGCTTCTCCCTACTTGGGTCATGGCAAATTGGCTGGAGCATAAAGTCAGCCCACGGAACCTCCGGGGAGCTTTAGGGCTAAGCCAGGGAGCTTCTTCCTGGGGAAAGCTTGGAAGAGCTCCCTGTCTTTGCCTCCTTCTCCACAGCAGAAACGGTGGAGCAGCTGGGGAACGACAGGATAACTGTGAAGGGCAGGCTGTCCCCAGGCCCCGCACTGTGCACACACGCGCGCACACACAGCAACAAAGGACAGGGAAGTCAGCTAGTAAAGCTTCAGATCAACCTCACGCCTCCACGACCAGTTCTCACTACACGGTCGTTGGCTTCTGTATCTTTCACGTTCTTCTCCCCCATCCTCTTATTACTGCTTTCTTTCTTTCAGCTCTAATCTCTTTGAGGTGCGACACTACCTGCACCTCGGACAACGGTAGTGTGGAGCCAGGATGAGGGAGTCCGATAACTTTGCTCTGTAAGAAAATCATTGCAAGCATTCAATGCCACCCCCTCGCGACCCCGCCCCGGGGCCCTGGCATGGCCTTTCCCTCTCCCCAAGTCTCACCAGTACGCCTCCAAAAAGGGCCGCAGGCCCTCGAGCAGCTCGAAGTTATAGGGCTGGAAGAGCTGATTTACTTCGTGTGAGACATTCATGGCTGTGACCATCTAGTTTTGCAGACGTCGAGGTCCAAAGCTTGGAGGCGCTAGGCGAAAGCCTTGGGGCGCCAAGGATGGAGTGAACCTCGGGGCGAGACGGAATAGAGCCGGGACAGACGGAAACCCCGGACAAGGCGAAGAGGGCGTCGGACCCACGCACGTGCGAGGCGGCGCAACCAGCTCTCCCCAGAGCATCCACTGCAATATATAACGCTGACTTGCAGAGCTGCGGACCCGGACGGCGCGCGGCCCCCTCCCTGCGCCCCGCTGCTATCCAATCTCGACCAAGATACGCCTCTGTCCCGCCCCTGGGCCGCAGTCCGCATTCTGATTGGTCATCCTCAAGAGCCCCCCCCCCGGGCGTTTCACACGCCCCGCCCCAAGTCCGGTCGTAGGCGGTCGCCTACCCACTTTCCCAACAAGTCCACGCCATCCTGTGCTGCCTTGCGGGTTCCCGGAATGGCCGGTCTTCCCTTGGCACTGTCAACCGTGGCCTTCGCCTTAGTTTGCTTTAATCTTGACCTGCTTAGCAGTGAGGAGAGAGGTGTCCTTAGCCTTTGGTGCTCCCATAAGAAATGGAGGAGTCAGTTTCTAGGCTCCCTGAGATCCTTGGAAACCCAGGCCTGCGATAAGGAAATATGAACGTGGGCAACGCAGAGCTTCTCCTGTAGTCCCTTCAACCTCCTAGCTTTGAGTCTGCGGTTGTGGGTGGGTGGAAGGAGATGAATTTTATTGTTGAGGTTGTTGATGTTGATGTTTGGGTTGTTGAGGCTGTTACGGTTTCTTTATAGTTTCCTGAATTCCTGAACTGCAGCAGACTGAGATTCAGTAATAACCGTGGAGAGAGGAAATGGGGTCAGCTTCTGGGCTTGTGGAATTATTGTCTTCAGGTTTCCTGGAGGCCTCCTAGGGTTTAAGGATGGGGAAAGCCAGTGAATCTTCCCCAAGGCCTGCTGTTTTATCTCCGGAAACAAATCTACTTTTTTCTCACCTGTGTAACCAGTCCTAAAGAAATAAATGTTCTACAATTTTAAAGTTTTACTTGCCTGTCCCTCACTTCTTTCCTAGGTTTTATGAAAGTGAAGGAGAAATCCAAGCAGTTCGAGATAAGGTGATTTACAAAATGTGCTAAGAAACATAGATATAAAATAATTAAAATCAAGATGTGGGTATGTTCATCGTTTGGCCATGTGCAGTAAAGTTCTAGAGCCAGAGAATCCAGGTAGGAACCCCAGCTCTACTTCCTGAATCTTAGCCACTGTCTGGGAGGGTGTAGTTGAAGTCCTATTGACGCCATCTAAATGAATCAAAAGTACATCCCTTTTTCTCTGTACCTCATTACCTCTCACCTGGTCACGTTACTTGGTTGCACCACCTCCTTCTCTAATACGGTACTTCTCCTCTTCACTGCATTGCAATCAGAAAAGAGTTCCTATTCCTGGCTGATCACCAGATTCCTGAGCCTCAACTGCAGAGATTCTGGTACTGTAAGTGGTCCCAGACTGTACTTTGAAAACCACCACTTTGTGCTTGCTCATCTGGAAAATAGTTCTGCTTTAAAACTGTTTTAAAAACCTTCACTGGTTCCTGATGACTCCATATACAGCCTATCATCTAATCAGAAGGTGATCAACACGACTGATGGATGAACAAATGAATGAAAGAATGAATATTACAAGAATAATACCATCTAGGTGTTACAAGACCCAAGTTCAAGTCCCAGTGCCCCCATCAATGAGCCATGTGATTTTAGGCAAGTTACTTAACCTCTGTGAGACTCACATTCTCCTTCAGAAAATAAATGCATATAGTCATACTTGCCTGCTTTCCTCATAAGGTTGTGATGAGTATACAAGTCAGATAACATAAATGAAATGATACTGTGGACTAGACACATGGAAATAGTAAGGCAAATCATTATTGGAGGTTTACAAATGCATATGCAGAATATATACTCAGTCCTGGATTTCTCTATGAAGATATTTTACATTGTCTTTCCCTGTGAGGTTTAATGGTGAGGCTTGGAGGAGGTGTATGTGGAAGAGGGAAAGAAGAAAAATTAGGGCCAGACACAGTAGCTCACGCCATAATCCCAGTACTGTGGGAGGCTGAGGTGGGTGGATTGCTTGAGCCCAGCAGTTTGAGACCAGCCTGGGCAACATGGTGAAAACTCATCTCTATGAAAAGTACAAAAAATTAACTGGGCATGGTGGTGCCCACCTGTGGTCCCAGCTACTCAGGGGCTGAGGTGGGAGGGTTGCCTGAGCCAGGGAGGTCAAGGCTGCCATAAGCTGTGATTGTGCCACTAAGCTGTGATTATACCACTGCATTCCAGCCTGGGTGACAGAGTGCGACTCAAAAAAAAAAAAAAAGGCCAGCAGTGGTGGCTCACACCTGTAATCCCAGCACTTTGGGAGGCTGAAGTGGGCGGATCACCTGAGGTCAGGAGTTTGAGACCAGCCAGGTCCACATGGCAAAACCCTGTCTCTACTGAAAATACAAAAATTAGCCAGGAGTGACGGCAGATACCTATAATTCCAGCTACTCAGGAGGCTGAGGCAGGGTAAATTGCTTGAATCCAGCAGGCAGAGGTTGTAGTGAGCCAAGATTGTGTCACTGCACTCTAGTCTGGGCAAGAGAGTGAGACTCCATTTCAAAAAAAGAAGAAAGAAGAAAAATCTTCAAAAATTATATTCTAGAGGAAATGCTCCTTGACCCTTGGACTTGGCCTGGTGCCCTTATTTTATGTAAGCTCTTCTCATAGCATGGTATTTCTTTTCATCAATGAGAGTTTACAATTTGTTATTTTTGTGATTCCTTGATCAATGCCTGTTTTTCCCACTAGTCCTTGAACTCTATGAATGCAGGGTCTATGTCTAGTTTTAAATTTTTTTTATTTTCAGACAGAGTGTTGTTCTGTTGCCCAGGGTGGAGTGCAGTGGCCTGATCTTGGCTCACCGCAATCTCTGCCTCTTGGGTTCAAGTCATTCTCGTACCTCAGCCTCCTGAGTAGCTGGGACTACAGATGTGCACTACCACACCTGGCTGATTTTTGTGTTTTTAGTAAAGACAGGGTTTTACCATGTTGGTCAGGCTGGTCTTGAACTCCTGGCCTAAAGTGATCTGCCCACCTCGGCTTCCCAAAGTGCTGGGATTACAGGTGTGAACCACAGCATCCAGCCAGACTATGTCTATTTCGTTCATCATTCTCCTAACCCCGAGCATAACCCAGGTAATATTTGTTGCATGAGTGATTGAATGGATGAAATCCTTAGCATGTAAACTTCTCTCCCTATTTCCAACTGCCTGTTGGATATCTCTATCAGTATGTTCTTCTAGTATCCTTAGCAAAACACATCCCAAACAGAATTTATCTACCTCCAAAATTGGCTGTTTTTCCCAGCCACCATTTATCTAATTTCTCAGGCTAGAAATTATGAGGTCATGTTATAGTCTTCTGTAGGACACAAAGTCCTGTCATTTCTTCTGGAGGTGGCATGGTCATCAGAATGCCTCTATTCAGATTTTATCTTTGCCACTTACTAGCTAGTAACCTTGGCTAAGACGTTATCAAATATCTCATGGCCTTAGCTTTCTTGTCTGTAAAATGGAGAAAACTTCCTGAGAAGGATGTGCATGAGGATCAAATGAAATAATATATGTTAAAGGGCACTGGATGGGCCTGGTGGCTCATGCCTGTAATCCTAGCATTTTGGGAGGCCGAGGCAGGATGATCACTTGAGGCCAGGAGTTCAAGACCAGTCTGGCCAACAGAGCGAGACTCTGTCTCAATAAATAAATCAATAAATAAAGAGCAGTATACAATGTAAAGGGTTGAGTAAGCATCAGTAATTATTTACAAAAAAAAGTAACTTTGTACAAATTTCACCTTCTTTTTTTTTTTTTGAGATGGAGTCTCCCTCCTGTCACTCAAGCTAGAGTGCAGTGGTGCATTCTCAGCTCACTGCAACCGCCACCTCCTGTGTTCAAGCAATTTTCCTTCCTCGGCCTCCCAAGTAGCTGGGATTACAGGCATGTGCCACCACACCTGGCTAATTTTTGTATTTTTAATAGAGACAGGGTTTTGCCATGTTGCCCAGGCTCCCGACCTCCTGACCTCAGGTGATCCACCCATCTCAGCCTCCCAAAGTGCTATATCCTCCCAAAGGATTATAGTTGTGAGCCACTGCGCCTGGCCAAATTTCACCTTCTTTTAATGAAACACAACTATATTAATTTAAAAGTTATGATCTGGAGATTGGTTGCAGAACAATGTGACTGTACTTGGCACTACTGAAATGTACACTTAAAAATAGTTAAGGTGGTCAATTTTATATTATGTATATTTTGCCAAGTTTTGTCTTGTTTTTTTGTTTGTTTGTTTGGTTGGTTGGTTGTTTTTTTTTAGATAGAGTCTCATTCTGTTGCCCAGGCTAGAGTGCAGTGGTGCAATCTTGGCTCACTGCAACCTCCGCTTCCCAGGTTCAAGTGATTCTCCTGCCTCAGCCTCCCGAGTAGCTGGGATTACAGGCGTGTGCCACCATGCCCAGTTAATTTTTGTATTTTTAGTAGAGATGGGGTTTCACCATTTTGCCAGCTGGTCTCGAAATCCTGACCTCAGGTGTGGTTTTAAGTAGGTCACATAAAGGGGTAATATGCATACTACATAAAAAGCTTATTCGTTTTCTTATCTTCGACCCTTGGTAAATGGCTAAGGATACAAACAAGCTCATTTTGTAGACTCCAGTGTCTCCAAATCGGCCTCTCACTTGCTGCCAGAAAGGTCTTTCTAAAACACATCAGCTCCTCATTCCTCATTCCTCATTAAGAACAAAATGTCATTCCTCATTAAGAACAAAAATAGGCCGGGCAAGGTGACTCACGCCTATAATCCCAGCACTTTGGGAGGCCGAGGCAGGTGAATCACAAGGTCAGGTTTTCGAGACTAGCCTGGCCAATGGCCAACATAGTAGAAACCCCGTCTCTACTAAAATACAAAAATAAAAAATAAAAAAATAATAATCCTCAGGACAAAGATCAAATTCCTGAGTTTAGCCCTGACCATTCATTTCTAGCCAAAATCCCAGCATCAGATTCCACATTGTAGCCATAGTGGACAAGTCTCAACTCTACACACTAACCCTTTACCTCTCTACGCATCTTTCCCTTTCCCATACAGTATTTTCTCACCCAGACAAATCTGAACTCTAGCTCTACCTCTAAAGTCACTTGCCCTGTGACTTA